ATCACATATTGTTACAGGCCTTGCACACCCTTTGCTGCTTCCCTCATGCTCATTTGGGGCTGCCACCAGCTCTCCACCCTCCTGGTTCCGCTGGCCGGGCCAAGAGAGGATGGAGGGATGGGAGTCCCAGGAGATCCTTGTAAATAATGGGGTGGGACTGTTCTGAGTGATCGCCCGAGCACTTAAAGCTCCAGAGTCCCATTCTTCCTGGATGGAGCAGGTGGAGGTGCAGAGGGGATTTCCTCCTCTCCTTCCTCCTGTCGAGAATTAACACCTCTCCACAGCCTTCCCCTCCAGAACACCAGCCAGGGAGGGGAGGGGAAGGAGGTCACAGCCAAGAAAACTGCCCTGTGGCAACTTCCCTCCTTCCCGCCTATGTGAGCCATCCTGAGATGTCTGTACAATAGAAACCAAACCAAATGGGCACCCTCGGTTGCCGGGGGCAGGTGGGGAGGGGGGTGGGAAGAAGGGATGTCTGTCTGTCGATCCCCCTCCCCCTCTCCACTCTTTACCCACAAAGGCAGAAGACTGTTACACTAGGGGGCTCAGCAAATTCAATCCCACCCTTACCAACTGAGCCAAACCTAGAAACAAACACAAAACACACATAGTGAGACAAAATAGAGGAGAGAAAGAGAGCATGAGAGGGAGCGAGACAGGCGACCAACACAGAGGAGAGAAAACAAAAATAGCAAAAAAAAAAAAAAAAAAAAAAGAAAAAGAAAAAAGCAGTTCTTTATAATTTAATATTCTATTTTAATAAAGGCGTTTATTACCATATAAATGTAGCAAAGAACCTGGGCTAATATGAAAAAAAAAAGACTTTTTATTAGGTAATTTATTATATGAAAAGGATATTTTATTTTATGATAAAGTGATCCTTAAAAAAATAAAAAAACTTTAGAAGGTTTAGAATATATGTAGGGAGAGAAGAAGAAAAAATACATTTGTATTCAGAGTTAAATCTTAAAAAAAAAAAGTGTTTTTAATATATGTTTGGGTTTACGTTGCTTTTTTCCCCCACTTTTTTTTGGGGAGGAATGTCATTTGCTTTTCTTGGGGGAGCATCCCGGGATGAATGGTGGAGAGAGGAGCTGGGGGAACCCGGTCCCTCCTGGGGCCCTTCCAGTAGATTGGATTTCACTCCATGGACTCCTCCTCCCCTCTCCCCCTCCCCCTCAGGGGAGCCGGCAGAGCCAAACAAAGAAAGGGATTAACAAGAAAGGAAGAAGCTGTAGGACTAAGGACTGAGGATCCTGGGGTGTCCCCCACCACTTTCCCCTGCCCTGTTCCAGGGCAAGTGAGGAGGGGAAATCCAGAATTGAGGCCTAGCAGGCCTATAGGAACCCTCAGAGATGTGTGAGAATAAGAGATCTAGATTTTTTTTTTTAACCAAAAACGAGAAAGAGAAGAAAAAGAGAAACCGAGGGGTTTAAAAGAAAAGAATACTACAAAATAATAATTATTAATAATAATAATTCAAATTTATTTCATATAATCCTAGAGAGAGAAAGAAACAATTACTAGTTACTTAGTAGACAATATTCAGATAGCTTAAAGTTTAGTAGCATTGAGGGCCCCTGGGTCCAGTAGAATGTATACAAGTCGTAAGGAAAAGATAAATAGAGGAGGGAAGTGGCTGAGTCCACCCTGAGTTACCCCATCTTCAGATATCAGGGTTGGAGCAGGTTACTAGCTGAAGATTGGGAGCTTCCAGTCTGCTGGGGTTGATTCTGAGAATCCTTGGATTTTTAAATTGTAGGACAAAGAAATGAGGGGTTCGTTTCCCAGGGTCTTGGAAAGGATGCACACTGATCATCTCAATAAGACGGGCTGGGCTGAGGGCAGCAGAGGAGGCCAAGCACATTCACCTGCACCCCTAGTACCTGGGCAGCCCATACTCCAATGTGGTATGTCCTCCCCTGGGGCTCCCAGCTCAAACCCTCCCATGCATGCTTCCCCCAGGCCTAGCTGAGGAAGTCCTTCTTGAAGTGTGACCTCGGTCCACTTCTCTACAGATTGATTTAAGAGCCTGGGAAGTCATTCCACAAACAGACACACATGCACACACGCTTCTCACCTTCAGAGCTTCAAGAGCACTGAGGGGATCAGTCCCCTACCCCTGTTCCCAACCAGCTTTCCACTTAGCTTTGACCTCCATGGCAGCAGTGGCGGTAACAATCTCAATAATTGTTCTTTAAAGCTGACTGGTTCTTCACCTACTTGCAAAGTGCTTTCTTGTCTCATAAAAGTTAGATTCCAAGAGGGACTTCCCACGGAGTGGAGTGGAGACATTGTCCTTCAAGGCCTGGGAGAAAGGTATCCCCATGGGCACAGAGGCAAGGGAAAGGCACAGGGACTTTGGGTGACCCCAACCCTAACCCTCTGCTCCAGTTCACCTCCATCTATAAGTGTTCAGGTAGTGGTCATCCACTGTGCCCTGGCCTGGGAACACACTGCCCTCCCCACACAAAACTGGGGGACTTGGCTTCTGCATGTGAGAAATCAACATTTTTAAAGCACTTGCTTTCTACCAACCCCAGCTTGCAATCACTGGGCCTTCCCCTCCTATCCAAGGGGGTGGAGAGGCCCCTTGGCTCTCCTTTTGGCAGGAGGAGCCTGCTTCATTCATTACACCAATGACTCTGCCATGCCCCTCCCTGGCCCTAGACCCCAAACACATCTCCCTCTCCCCAGTTTACTCTTCTTGCCCCACCTAGGGACAGATTCCCCCTGCTCTTTTTGTCCTAGAAACCCCGCTAGTTTGGGATGGTAGCGTCTGGGGTGGGGAGGGCTTCCCCTTCCCCACTCGAGGGTGCGGGTGGGGAAGGGTGGGGTGGGTGGAGACAGCCCTGGGGCAGGGAGGATGGTCTCTCCACTGTAGAAAGTAGAGTAGGATTGTGGTCAGACTTAATTTGAGGCATCTAGTGAAGACACATACAAATCCACCAAGGAAAAAGATTTCAAAAGCAAAATAAAAGCGGGAAATAAAACAGACCCAAGAATAGTCAAGTCAAAGTGATGTTGCACAAAATGCAGAGAAACCAAGAAGGGGGAGGGTTAATGTATTAAATGTGCTATTAAGAACTTAATTTTATTAAAAGTACTATTACTTAAGGCTCTGTCTTTGTTCTCAGCATATGAGTCTGTGCCATCTTGGGGTGAGTGGGAGGATCTGGGTGGGGATTGCAGCTTGGGGTTTCCTCTAGTGTGGCTTTGGGCTCCCTACACACCTGTGAGTAGTGGATGTCTCCAGAGTTCCTTGCCACCCTTAAGTTCCCCCTCTTAGCTCTCCATAGCTCTGCTTGAGTCTTCAAGCTCTTTTTTTTTTTTTTTTGGAGACTGGTCCTCGCTCTGTCGCCCAGGCTGGAGGGCTGTCGGGAATCGCAGCTCACTGCAAGCTCCGCCTCCCGGGTTCCCGCTTCTCTGCCTCAGCCTCCCGAAGTAGCTGGGACTGACAGCGCCCGCCACCCGCCCGGCTAGTTTTTTTGTATTTTAGTAGAGACGGAGGTTTTCACCGTGTTAGCCGGATGCGTCTCGATCTCCTGACCACCCACACGTCTCGCCTCCCAATAAGTGCTGGATACAGGCTTGAGCCACCGCACCACGGGAGTTTAGCTCTTAATCCCCTGCCTTTTCTCTCCATTCTCCTTCTCCTCTTTGGAGGTGCAGCAGCTGCCTTGTTGCCCCCTGACCCTGAAGAGCAGGGAAAGGTTGACTGGGTGCAGTGCTCATTGACTGGGTGCTTAGTGTCCATGCCTGTAATGCCCCAGAAACCTCCCTGGGAGGCCGAGTGGATGGATCACTTAGGCCCAAGGAGTTCGAGGACCAGCCCCTGAGCAACTATAGCGAGACCGCTGTCTCTACAACCAAACAGTCAAAAATTAGCTGGGCATCGCGGTAATACCGTGCCGTATACGCCCAGCCTACGCTAAGGAAGGCTGACGGCAAGAGAATCACTTGAATCCAGGAAGGCCGGAAGGTTGCAGTGACGCGAGATCACGCCCACTGGCCACTCCCAGCCTTGGGCCCCAAAAACAGCCCAGAGTGAGACCTGCCGCGTCTAAACACAAAAAAAAAAAAAGAACAGGGGAAGGTGAGGCAGAGACAGAGATGCTACCTGGACAGCCATCTCCTAGGCTCTATGGAAAGGGGGCAGAGAGCCAAGAGACAGGGACCCTCCCCATTTACCCCACCAGATTCAATCCATCCCTCTTCTTTGGGATCAGGAAGAAGACTGGATGGGCTGGGCTCAATGGCTCAAGCTTGTAATCCCAGCACTTTAGGAGGCCAAGGCAGGCGGATCATCTGGGATCAGGAGTTTGAGAGCAGCCTGGCCAACATGGCGAAACCCCGTCTCTACTAAAAATACAAAAATTAGCCAAATGTGGTGGTGGGCGCCTGTAATCCCAGATACTCAAGAGGCTGAGGCAGGGAGAACTGCTTGAACCCGAGAGGTGGAGGTTGCAGTGAGCCGAGATTGCACCACTGCACCCCAGCCTGGGCGACAGAGTGAGACTCCATCTCAAAAAAAAAAAAAAGACTGGATGGAGGACTTGGACCTTCCACCTCTCAGGCTTAAAAACCCCTTCCCCAGTACACACCTACAGGACAGGCCCTGACCCCCTCTTCTCCCTTGTATCTCCCGCTGCCTCCTCCCCTTGCCCCTGGCATTGCAGTGACCTCAGTTCTTGGCACCAGGGCCCTCGGCACCAGATGGTGCCCGCCGATGGTTTCCTTTGTCTCGCCTTCCAGATACCCCCTCCCCTCCATGCTCTCCTCCCTCCCCCACCTGCCCTGGGGGTTGGCAGAGGGAAGGGCAGGCACCTCCCATCCCCTTGGCACCATCCCCAGACCACAGAACTCCAGAGGCAGCTGGCCCTGAGGGGCAGTAGGTATTGTGGGGAGGACAGAGGAAGGGGATCAGGGACTCAGAGGAGGGGCCAAAGTTGAAGGGGAGGTGCAGACAAGGAGAAAAGAACAGACGGGAGGCAGCAGAATGACCAGGCATTGATATAAAACAGCTTTATTTGAGGGTCCTAGTCTGTGAGGGGTGGACAGATAAAAGAGGTATTGTGATAGGGCATGAAGACCTTAAGACCCTGGGGGTGCTGTGAACAGGGAACAGTCTGATATTTGGAACCAAAGGGCTAGGAAAGGTCCCGGGGCTGAAGTGGGGACAAGAGGCACCAAAAAGCCAGTGGGGGCAGGGTGGTTCTGGCCAAGGTCAGAGGCTGATGCAACAGGCCCTCTTCTCCCCGGGGCCAGGCTCCTGCCCAGCCTGGGCACTGCCCAGAGTGATGGCATTGGTCCGGATGCTGTTCTGTCTCTGCTTGGACACCTTCGCAAAGATCTCTGGGAGGGCAGGGGGCAGTGATCAGGCCAGAAGATTTAGAGCCCATGCTCCCTCCTCCCCCACCCTCCACACATACTGCATGCCCCTTCTGAGCATGGGGGTGGCTACACTTGCTGGAGTTTTGCAGGAAGGAAATGAAGTGTGGACATTGGGGTCCCTTCTACTTACTTGGGTGGAGAAGGAACCAAGAGTCAGCCCCATGGGGAGTGTGGCCTGTTCATTCCCTGAGCTCCAGGTTGAGTGGGAGGCACTGGGGAGGGACTGAAGGGGACAGGCAGTGGTGCCAGGACCCACAGAGGAGCTGAGAAATTAGCTGGGGTGAGGGCTGAGTGTCTGCATTCCTACTGCTGCCTGCAGAAGCCACGGGGATGGAATAGGGGTGCAGAATAAAGGTAGGCTCTAACCTTTCAGGACAGTCTCAAAGGCGAGCTCAACATTGGTAGAGTCCAGGGCTGAGGTCTCCAGGAACAGCAGTCCATTGTTTTCTGCCAGGAAGGGAAACACACCGTTAATTGTGGGAGTCAAAGGCAATAATAATAATAGTATTAATGTTTGCTGTATACATTTGCCATGTGCTAAACTCTTGGCATGTAGCAGATCATTTAATCCTTAAAACAACTTATGAGGTAGGTTCATTTAGAAAACTGAATCCAAGTCCTCCATACTCCTGACCTCAGGTGATCCACCGCCTGCGGCCTGCCCCAAAGTGCTGGATTACAGGCGTGAGCACACCATCGCCGCGGCCGAGGAGGTGAAACTTTAAGGGCTCCAAGACTAGTGTCCCTGGAAGGCAGAGGAGCCCTTGGCGCGCCTCTGTTGGGTTTTGGTGGCCTCTGGCCTCAAGTTTCTGTATTTCCTGATCTCTAGTACGCTCTGATGCACCTGGGTGTTCCAGGCTTGATGGCTGCTGCTTGATGCCTGGGGTCCGGAATGCCCTGATCGTATCTCTGTCCATCCTTCTCATTTCCATATCCAGTACTAATCGTTTGGTGCAGTGGGGGGCCGCTCCCTGGTGTTTGACCTAAATCCAACGCACCAATGACCCTATGCTGCTGGTAGAGCGATGGCTTGAAGGAAGCTCTATTGACCATTGCTGAACCAACGATCGTCCGTCATGCTCGTTGGGTAACAAGAGTGACCCTCGCAGGGCCCGGGAAGTGCCCACTGAGGTGGAGGCCCGAATGGTTCGCTTGGTGAGAGCCTGCACTAACTGCAGGGCTGACTTCTCCAGCTAGCCTGCACCTTCGACCCTGTCCTTGCAGCCTCACCAGGCCCTGCCCCACCCCATGAGAGCCCAAGCCTGCGTTCCTCCATACAGTCTCTACCTCATCCCTCTTCCTCAGCATTTCCAGCACTTCCTTTGGGACCTGTGTCTCCCATGATGCCCACCACTTTGCCCTGAGATTGTTCTTTTGATTTTTTTTTTTTTTGAGAACCGGGCTCTCATCTGTTGCCCCAGGCCTAGAGTGCAGGTGGTGTGATCTCAGCTCAGCTGGCCAACCCTTGTCCTCTGGTTCAGTCATTCTATCGCTCAGCTCCTGAGTAGCTGAGATACAGCATGTGCACCACCACACCTGCTAATTTTGTAATTTTTAATAGAGAATTGGGGCTTCACCATTTTGGCCAGGCTGGTCTGAACTCCTGACTCAGGTGAGTCACCTGCCTTGGCCTACCAAAAGTTCTGGGATTACAGCGGTGTGACCACTGTGCCCTCCGCCCATAGTTGATTTTAAGGGCCAGCCCCTACCCTGCACACTCGCCTCAAAGAATCTTATGGCAGACGGATAAACTTCCCCAGGAGTCCTTCTGGGTTTAGAGGCCAAGCATAATAGGTTGGTTCAAGCGTGGTTCGGAGTCCCATGGCCATCAGCCTCCCATCCTGCTCTTCGCCAGTTACTAAAATTGTAAGTGGACACATGAGCCATGTTTCCTTACGCGTTTTTCTTTGTGTTTCTGGATTCCAAAAACTTTTCTTTTCTTTTTTTTTGTTTTGTGAGCACGGGCCCCGGGGTCTCGCTCTGCACCCAGGCTCTGGAGTGCAGTGGTGCGATCTGGGCTCACTGCAAGCTCCGCCTCCCTGGGTTCACGCCATTCTCCCTGCCTCAGCTCCTGAGTAGACCCTGGGACTGAAACAGGCAGCCCCGCATCA